TTGCTAGGGACTTGCCCGGCACTTGCTCTCTACCTCTATTTGTTATCTTACTTCTATCATTGACAGTCCCTCTAGGTTGTGGGCTGCTTGCCTGTGTTCCTGAGAAGCATCTATGGTACCAGTCTATAGAGTGTGTTTTCTTTAGTGAATTACTGGTATGTTTACCGGTAATAAACTTGCACTGTTTTATGTATATGTTTGATTACATACAGCCTTGTGACAGTTTTCCTGCATGTCATAAGCATTTGAATATAAATTAAAATGTTAAAATCAAATCTGATATTGTTTTACCTTTTATTTGGTGTGTGGAAGGTGTGCGGAAGAGGGGGTAGTCTTATACGGCGAGTATATAACAAACTCTGTATTTTGAGTGGAAATGTCAGGGGGTCGTCTTATACGCCCAGTCGTCTTATACGCCGGCAAATACGGTACCTAGGTTTTGGGTTCAATCCCTGTTTGGGGCACATACGAAAGGCAACCGATCAATGTTTCTCTTCACATTGATGTTTCTCTCTCTCTTCTCCTCTTTCCTTTCCTCTCTCTCCAAAATCAATAAACATATCCTCAGGTGAAGATAAAAACACCCAACCCTCTATGAAATGTATAGCTCCATTTTACAGATGAGGAAACTGGGGTTCACAGAAGATAAGTTTAAAAGTCATGACATTGTTTGGGCCCTCAAAATGCGTGAAATAGAACTCTTTTGACAGTAACTCTTAAGTGTCTTATCCACACCAGTTTTCAAACATGTGGTAGTAGGAACCTCTGTGTTTTGTGTCCTAGCAGTGTGGCTGTCATTCAAAAGCCTAGGAAGCCATTGTGATGTTCAGTAACATGGACTTAGCACCGTTGAAATTGACATTTATCTCCATTGCCAACAATCAAAACTCCACTTCCCTCCAGCAGTGGCTGCAACTTGAAAACTCCTTCATAGGTTCTGCTTCTTTCCTGTGATGGTGACTCAGGTCATTGATCAGATAAATCATCAGATGAGGAAGGGAAGCAAGTCCCAAACGGAATGCATGGGGTCAAGGTCAGGAGCTGCATATGGCTCTAGTTTGCAACTGAGATTCTAATGCATTTCAATTGGATTTTCAATGGCTTTCTATTCGACATCTACCTTCTGAATCAAAAATGTCCTTTGCCAAGTAACAATTTTACTTTACCTTCAGTTCCTCCTGCAACAATGGAAATAGTATTTTAAATAAAATATAGTTAAATCTCAGGGCAACCAAGCACTTTGGAACAACTATAGAAGCTCATATATCTAGGACATTGACAGAAACCATACTATGAATTATTTTTTAAATCTAGTTACCTAACCATTAATTAGAGTTTCGTGAAATGGTCCCTAACTATTTCTTTTTCTATTAAGGCTCAGTCAGCAGCCTGAAGGATAGAACTATAGATGCCTCTTTAAAAAAATATATAGATAAATTTAGACTAGAGCAAAGAAGAGGAAAAGAATGAGACCAGCTAAGTAAATAAACATGGCCAAAAACAGTCACTAATACCCTAAAGATAGAATATAATATAAAAAATATAAAATAAGAGTATTTCTCTTATGTCTAAGTATTAAAAATAAAGCATTACTGAGTAGAGCAAACAGGATCAAGTTTAGCGAACAGGATCATAACAAATTATGACCAGCTTTCCAATGTCAGGAGTTAAGCATCAAATTGAATAGGGAATTTCAGTTTCTAGCCAAGAAAAGCAGTGACTGGGTTTACCCTCACACCTTAAGTGACTAGAAAATAAACAAAATATATGAACCCATGGTTCTCAGACATTGTACAACAGATAGCACAGGACAGTGATCCCTGAGAGAAGGGAAACAAATGAGGTGGGCTTGTACATGCATCAGTTTATTGGCTGGAAGGTAATTTCCAGATCAAAGCTCGGGGAAGTAGAACCCAGATGGAGCCCAGAGGTCTTGCTGAGCTGAGGGGACAGAGATCAGACCTCGGGGAGGCCAAGGCACCTAGAATATCTGGGACACCACACTACAGACAGATCTCCAGAGATCTGGGGAACAGCTTTTGGCTACCCCCTGACCTACCTGTTGTGAAAAGAGACTGCCTACACCCAGGGAAGCACTATAAGCAAAGAGTAGCCTGGATGGAGAAATAACATCAGTCTGTGCTTCAGACCCACCTGCTTAACTGACATGGGACCATTCCCCAGTCATAACTGGAGACCCCACTACTTAATACAGTCACACATGACTCAGGACTCACATCATGTCCAACATGTACCCTGCGTCCAGGCACAAGTGTCTGTGTCATCTCATAGGGTATCTTCTCATTTATACATTCTGGGAGACTTCACCATTACCAGGGGAGGGGAGGGAATCGGCTCTTGTATCACATTTTTGGGCCAGACATGGGCACACTGGGGCTCCTAGGACCAAGTATACACTTTACTTGATGCATATGGCACGGAGCTAAAGAAAAGAAGCTTTACCGTCATAAAACTCCTGCAGTAGCTATAACTGTTGTTAGCTTTCCAAAGGAGAGAACCGTTTGCCCTTCTCATAGCCTCAGCTCTTGGCCACGCCTGGAAAGCCTTGAGTCATGTCTGATCTTGGCTTTGTATGGTCCCATAGCAACCACCACAAACCCTGGTTAAATGTCTGTCTGGCTTCACATTGTCTTCTGAACCCAAACTTGCCCAATCAATACTTTTAAACACATCTAACACAGAGCAGGACAAAGAAACAGAATAACTTTACTATATTCCACCTGTCTCATTGTTCCTCAAATTGAATTTTTTTAGTTTCAAAGATTGTGGACATGGAAGATAAAAAACTGGACGTAACCCACTGGCACAGACCCTTTTGTCTCTCTGTCAAGATGTAAGCCCTGCCTTCGTTTCATCCTAGCCAATATCTACACCCTTCTCTCTTTTGTCAGCCAGTCCCTCTTCTTCCTCATACTTTCCCATTTCCTTCTCTTTGTTTCTCACATTCCTTTTCTCTCCTCATTCCCACTCAACTCTACACTCACACTGATACACTCACCAAATGTGCTCATAAAGAATGGTCATTCCACACATACCGGTGAAAGGCATGGGGTCTAGGACCCATTAACATGGATTTGAATTCTGGATCTGCCACTAAATAGCTGTGTGATCTTTTGCAAGTTTGTTAACGTCTCTGTATCTCAGTTACTTGTCAATGTTGAACATTAATAGTATGTGCCTTGTAGGGTTGCTATGAGGATTCATGAGGCTCTTGGCACAGTGCCTGGCACATGGTGGGTTCTCACTAAATGTGAACCATTGTTATTGTTAACAATGTCTCCTTTTATTTGGGGTTTTTGCTTAGTGAGCTACAAAGTCATTGATGAAAGGGAATTCTGGTGCTTTAGTTTTTTTTCCAGAGAGGAAAAAAGAAACAGGGTAGATTTCAGGCTCGTGAATTAAAAGGGAAGAAACCCAGCATGGAGGAAAGAAAAAGCATTGAGACCTAACACTCTGTTTCTTCTATTGCACTTTTGTCCTCCTCTCCTCAGAAACTCATAGAGGGAAAGCTTTAGCATCTTTAGGTCCTCGGGCTCAGAATATGGCCTCACTTCTGGCTGAGCAATACTGTGTTCAGAATCACTGCTGACCAAAATCCAGTAGATCCTTCTAAGCCATGTCATAATGTAGCAAAGCATCAGAAACAGAAAAAAAAAATCATGCAACTTATTTTTTAACAAGTTGTGGAAACTGTGAAAAGGCTTGTTGCGCAGAGGGAGAAACAGCCTTTACTCACCTGCAGGAGTCCACTTGGCTGACTAAGGCCTGTCCCTTTTGCAAAGCATCAGCAGTGCAGCCTTTAATTTCTCCGTGTAATTCCTCATGCCTCGCTGCCAAGACAGGCAGACTTAAACCCTCTGACTTAAGGAGCTTAAGGTAAGCTTCGACTCTTCCAAGTACATCAAACGCCTGCCAAAGAAAGCAAACTTTCATTTTCTGCTTTTCTAGTTTAAAATCTACATTGATGTGTACATGAAATACTAGCGAGTCAGCCAGTTTGTTTAATTTATTAGTTTAATCAAAACCCAAAACAACAAGTTTAGTCTTGGAAAAGAGCTGTATGGTTTTAAGGCTCCATTTAGAGAAACTGATCACAGCTTAGTTCAGCATACATAAGTGTCAACACCTTAAAATCACCAAAATAGTTTACATTGAGAGCGTACCTAGACAACAGTTATACCAGTGTAGAATTTAGAAGGCCAGGTTTATTATTGGCACATTCTGAACTGCATACAAATAATGGATGAAATGTTTTTAAAATATTATGCAGACTTTCATAACCTGAATGTCTCTGTAATAAAAATGTCCCAGTAAATTGCACTTTCAAACTGAAACACTGCAGGGAAATAGCCAAAAACTTACTAATGTGCTTTTGCCCTTGGCTATCCAAGTAGAAGACCTTCTGCCTACTCCATCCATAGACATTCATCTCTCTACAGAGAAGATTAGAATTTGGATCTGAAGCAGTACAAAGATTAAAAGCAAGGTAATATTTAGCTTCCAGCATACAAATAGGTTATGCAGAAAAAACACATTTTTTTGCAAACTAAGATATTGTCTTGAGAGAAGATTTTTGAATTCTTTGATTTTCTTCCTTTATTAGCAGATCAACAAACAAGCATGGGGGATTTGGTTTATAGAATTAACATAGAGTAATGTTTTGGGGCATTATGAAAGAGGAGTATATGATAACAAGAAAATAAAAGAGGACTGTGGTAACATGAGAGAAAGAGAGCAGAGTACAGTGGTCTTCATGGGTCTCCTCACAGCCCATCTCTGAACTTGAGCCTGGCGAGCAGGATGAGTTAGGTAAGGTGAAGAAAAGCTGAATAGCAAGGGAGCTCTTGCCATGTTGCCCTCTGGCACTACTGGAGGAAGCCACCATTCAGGATGCTTCATACCAGTCTGGAGAACCTACCCCAGTAAGCTTGACAGTGCCACTGACAGCCAGGGCCCTGAAGTCCACCCTCCCTGACTGCTGAGCTAGAAGCCAGTGAGCTCAGCAGGGACCTACCAGGTAGAGTAGGGGGACCCCACAGGAGCAATGAGAGCAGATGGCCTTGTGAGCAACACGGAGAGCTGAGAGAGACCAGGGGAGCCGGCTGGGCTCATGGGCAGGGACACAGTTTTAGCCAAATGTAGAAGATACAGCTGTGGAGCTGTGTGAGCGCACCCATGCCTGCCCTGGCCACCACCTTAGGAGTGAGTTTTAATGGCAGAATTGGAACTGGAAAAAATTGAATTTACAAATGAAATCTCTCAAGTTCTGTCATATTACATATATGTCAATATTCTGTTCTCTCACCAATGTGCTCCTGTCTCGTGAATCTGCTCTTTCCATTTATTACTTAGAATGCTTAAAAATGAAATAATTTTTGCCAGCCAGTGTTTCTCCGTGGTTAAGCACCAACCCATGGACTGGAGGTCAGGGTTCATCTTGGTCAGGGCACATGCCCTGGTTGCAGGCTCCAGCTCCGGCTGGGGACATGCAGGAGGCAGCCAATCAATGATTCTCTCTCATCACTGATGTCTTCTTCTCTCCCTCTCCCTGCAATCAATAGAAATATATTTTTAAAACAAAAAAAAATCATTCCCATTTAATAGCTGATAGCAAGTAATAATAATAATTAGAGTCTAATGCAAATTATGTGCTCCTTTTATACTGTTTGTTTCACAATTATTTTCCATCATTGACAAATATTTTTTAAAGTCTGCAGAGTTTCAAGCGCATTGTCCTTTACAGCCAGGGAGGGAGCTAGAAATTCTCCCCATTATTCGACTGGGGAAACTCAGTCCAGAGAGGTTAAATAAATCGCGCAAAGTGACACCTCTACTAAGTGGCAGATTGCTATTTGCACTCAATTTGTCTGGCCCCCAGGGCCAGCTCTAAACCCAGGGCGATGGCAGCACGTGGCAAAGACTTACTGTGGGAGGCTAAGAAAGAAGGGACATTTCCAAGAAGCCTGTTAATCTTAGGTTTAAAAGGTAGGACTTTAACACTTACTTCTTATAAATAAGTGTCTACCTTTCCTTCTTACCTGTGAGGGAAGACACAGAGAAAGGTTGAGTGATGTCTCTTAGCTACATAGGACTTTATCTAAAAGAGAAATTGCTTTACTAAAGCAACTTTGAACCTGAAGAACTCTTCCTCAACTAATCCGTTTTCCCCCTGCAGGTGGCAACAGAGCCAAGATGCGATTAGAAAAGATGATGTGAATCACTCTCTTGATCGTTCCCTAACACATGGAAACACCACCTGGCGAAAACCACTGTTTCTGGAATTTTGTTTTATATTTTAAATTCTTATTGCTTAGTAAGAATAAAGCCGAGCCTCTTGTTAACCAAGGGTTAGTTTTAAAGTGAGTGCCTAAAGCAAAAACCTGTTGGATTCACAATGACCATGAATTCCCTTAAAGCACACTTAAAGTTGAGTATATGTAAACTAGTGCTCACAGTAATACATAGTCACATGTAGGACTGAGGGCCACTGGGCTACACAAGAGGAAGGAATAAAGGGAGAGTCTGTTATATGCAATTGTCACGGCATTCCCTTTTGTCTTCCTTAAGATAATTCTCAGCTTCCTAGGGTGAACGAAAAAGGACAGAGAATCCCAAAGTGCTTTTCCTTGCCTGCAAGTTTAACTCCACTCTGTTTTAACATTAAGCTGTTATGAAAGTAATTAGTGTGTGATGGCGCATGTGTAGTAAGTACTCAGAAAATATTTACTGGCTGTTACTCTAAATCTTGAGTGATGGCTCACATCTTTCAAAAACCACCGAGAAGTGATGGCCACCCGCCTGGGTCTCTCCTCTGTGGCCCATCGAACAGCTGCTACTCTCACGCCAGTGGGTTAGGCACTGGCCTCACCTTCACAGGAGTTAGATTCTGAAGCCACGTGCACATTAAATGTATGTGCCCTGTGACCCCATTGCATTTCTGAATACTATCGTGAAAGTACTGCTTCCTAATAGCATGGAAAGAACTGGCATGGCTGCACATTCACTGGGAGGAGAAGGTACTGTATCAAATGTCAAGACAGTCCATAACTTAGAAAGAAAATAGCCAAATTTCCTTCCAGGGTTTTTCTCTCCAAAAGACCAAGTGTCAAAAGCATTTACTTATGAATTGCTCTATATATCACACTTACTGGAATGATGGCAGTAGAAAGGAAGTGAGGGATTTCATTCCTTCTTCAGCTCAACAAATATACAAATTTGCAAAATACTTTCTATTGGTCACATAGGCTAGATCAGGGGTGGGCAACCCCTGGCACGCGTGCCAAACATGGCACGCCAGTAACTTTTGCTGGCATGTGAAACCCTCTCTTATAATCTCCCATTTACAATTTTTTTCTTAATATTGACTTTTTTATTTATATAATTCAGTTTAGGCGCATCTTAGATAAATAAATAATTTTA